TGTGGAAAACCTGTGGCCAAGTACCATGATGAATGATTTTGTTGTTGGCTTCAAACATCTTTATGTAACTGATATATATACTGGGAACCCTTACAAATTCAATGATCACTTTATTTCATATAAATATTGCAGGGTGTCTATAAGAATTGTTCACTCATTATCTTTGTTCCTTACCACTTTGGGAAACTAGCTGTCTTGTGTAGGTTTCCCAGAAACAGAACTTACAATTAGGGGTGGAGTAGGAATGGATGGGACAGAATCACACAGGTGCTGGCTAAGGAATGAAATCACATGGGATATAGCATGCTCCAAAATGAGAAAGTCATCTTGAGTGAATGTGGGCAGTGTCTTGACAGCATCTGCCACATCAGCCTTGTTAATATTATACAATTATCATTAAATGGGAGAAGCTTTTAACCTTTCTCGGCCTTGGCAACAGTGAAGAACACAGGCCATCAGCCTGGGAAGCATACCCAACTTTGCTGGTCTTCTTGATGTGCTGGGAGAGATTCAAAGGGGCCAAGAGATCAGTATCCTGCCAATAACAGACTGGTGGCACAGGATTGACAAGTGCTAGGTAGGAGAAGATGACTAAAATAATGGAGGAAATCCAAGTTAGATAATGCCTTTGTAAGAAATAGCTTCATAAGAAAACACCGCCAAATAGCTTTGGGAGTGAGGCTTCAGGGAAGGGTGGAACCCTTAGCCAGAGATCAGCCCATCTGAAAGCATTGAAATTCAGTCTTAAGAAGAATGGCTGAACAAATTCTTGCCTACACAATTTGACCAGTTTGTGACATTGAGTGTCTAGAATAAATGACCTTGATATGAACATAAATATGGTTTGGACATGCCTCCCCTGGTGGTGCAGACGGTTGAGCGCCTCGCTGTGAACCTGTCCGCAGCCTCCACAGTGCGGGTTCAATCCTGGCCAGCCGGCGAGAACCCCACATGGCGAAGCAGACCTCTCCTGAGTTGCCCACTGCTCCCCTCAGCAGTGTATTTCGACAGTCTGCCTGTTCTGTTCCCCGTTCTGTCTCTGGTGAATCCTCTTACACTCCCATGCATCTGGCCTGTACCCCGGTTCTTGTATAAATAAATAAATAAATCTTTAAAAAAATATATGGTTTGGACAATGATGAAAAACTTTCTAGAATATAGTAGGCAAGTTTAAAGGGAGAATGTTGGACCCACTAGATCCTTGCCACCTGTTTAAAAGTTGAAACTCCATCTTAGAGAAATACATGTTCTTCATAGCAGTTCCATTGTTTATATCCATAGTTTATATTCAACACTTTGATTTGCTTAGTACTTGTATGTTTCGCAGGAAAGATGAATAAAACACTTATTTTGACTGAGAGTTTGGCAACAGCACTAAGGTAAAGCAGAATTCTTAATTATTCAACAAAATGTTACTTATCTTTTAAATATGAAATACTGTTTCAGCACAGTTATTTCTTTTCCCCTCATAATCATAATTAGGGGGAAATAATCTCCTTAATAACCAATAACACACTGCAGTCCATGTAAACTGATGAAATATAATATTGATTAGTGAGTCTTGAAGTAAGCCATACACTTAATATATGAGCCTTCATTGTTAGATCTTTCCAAAGTTAACTTCCATAGTGGCACTTTCTGGTATTTATCCTATGGAATAGGACATCTCAGGGGTCTCCATAGTGATTTACCATCAATGATCAGGAAGATCATGAAAATGATAGTTTCTAACCTTTAAGCTTACAGTTTGAGTCTGAATAGTCTCACAGCTACATTTAAGCTTTATGAATGTTCTGCCAGAATCCTGTATACTTGTTGCATTCAATATGCAAATCAGGTTCTCTTGCCAGTTATAAACCAGTAGGGAATAGACATCTTAGGAATCATATGTAATAAATTTTCTTGTGTGCTGATTATGAATTAAAGGAGAATATTCTATTTTTAGGGTCTTGGAGTTATAATTTTTAATACTGAATTTTAGACTAAGAATTGGGTTTTGATATCCTATTATTTTTTACACTTAAACTTAATACACAAACTTTTATTCTAGAGACTGAATTTTAAGTCCCATGTCTCTTAGAAAAAATATCATACACAAAAATAGTCTCAAATAATCTAGATTAACTTGCCTTACTAACTGAAATTGCCAGATAGTGAAGTAACTTTCCATTTCAGCTTATGCTGTGAAGACTTAGCATAGGAAATGCTTACTCATTTGTGGACCTTATGGGATGAAAGCAGCTTCAAAGGAAAAATGAAGACTACTTTTGTTTGTTGCTTGGTCTTTTGAATTATATTTGTGCTAGCTTTTATATTGCATGGAGATTATGAATTTTTGTTTACTCAGACTCCCTGAAGGATGGCAAGGCCAAGTGATGCAGAAAGATAAACTAGCAAATATTTTAAAAGAAGGAGAATGTTTTTTATGATAGAAAATATTTTCAGAGCTTAACTATTAATGTCCTTTTAGAAGACTTAGAGAAATTGATTATTGCTTAGATAAGAAAGAACATACCACTTTTGCTATTAATTTCCTTATGAAGCTTCTTTGTATAGATAATTGCAAGATAGACTTTGGAATAGTTAACCTTAGATATGTTTCTTCTGAATTAAACTATTCCTCTTTTGGCACCACTGAAGCCAGTATTTGTGCATTTCTACTTTGTTCATGTTGCAGAAGTAGACTTTAAAGCATGAATTTTCAGCCAATTAAGTCTTACCTAAATGTACTGCCATTCAGTTAATTATATTTGCAGTTCAAAGTTTTGATTATAACTGATTTACTAGGTGTAATCTTTGAAAAGAATACAATTAAATAATGGGCAGTACAGGTAAAGAAAATTAACTTTCCCTAAATCATAAATATCCTGGATGTTGATAAAACATACTTTGCTGCTGTATGGTAAAGTTATTCAAGCTCCAGGTATTCAGGTTGAGGTAAGAATTTACCAACCTTGGGTTATAGGAACTAACTGACCAATCCAATGACTTTGATTTTAAGATATTATAAAGCTTAAGTAGTTCTGTTACCCATGTCCATTGAACAATTTAATTAGATGTTCGCGAAGTTAACCAAAAAGATGCATTTCCATTCCTCATGGAGGCTGTAGTTAAGTGGGTGAACACATCAAAACCACATATAAAGAAAATAAGTATAATTATTGCAACATGTAAAAAAAAAAGTTTGGAAATTTAAAAACAAAGTGTCCTAAGACAACGAGTGAGAGGGGTATGGAGGAATAGATGATCTTATTTATATTCTGTATTGTTCATTATCACTAATTTTAATTTCCTTCAAAAGAAATTAAAAATCAACAATTATATAGTAGATCTGAATTATTTACTTAGTTTCAGTTAAAATTTCATGCTGAATTTTTGAAATGATTAATTCTACAAAGATATGATTATATATGTATGGGCAGGCATAATGTAGACATTTAAAAGTCAATTTTATAAACATAGTTTATTGCTCCAAAATATGTCTTAACAATCAATGCAGAAAACTTGAGAATTACAAAATATCTAAATTACCTAGTTATATCACCAAAAAGCAGTCAGTATTAACATTTTAAATGTACTCTCCCATTCGTTTTCTGACATCTAGCGATACATTATTTTAAATATTTATTCACTTATGCATACAAAAGCTGAGGTACAAGCCAGAGGCGTGGGAGGTGAGAGAATTCACCAGAGACAGAGTGGGGAACAGAACAGGCAGATTGAACGAAGTACATTGCTGAGGAGAGCAGCAGGCAAGTCAGGAGAAGTCTGCTGCTCCATGTGGGTTGCTCCCTAGCTGGTGGGGGAATCAAACTCATGCTGCAGAGGCTGCAGAGTGCTACATAGGTTGCGTCTTAACCCCTTGCGCCACCAGGGAGACCCTAGCTATACATTTTTGTGAGAAATTGAATCCTAGTCTGTCCATTATATTTCCCATTTTCTGTTACTTAGCATGAACACTTCCCACTGCTGTATAATTTAAACAACTGTATAGTACCTGATTATATTCTTGCATCTCAATTTAGTTAATGAAGACATTGTTTTTATACATTAATACTGTTCCAAGTTTTTTACTTTTGTACATTTGGATGCCTTTTTTCTTATTTTTAATCATTTCCTCTGAGCAGACTCCTAAGTAGAATTGTTTGCTTAAATGTCTAAGATTTCTGATATAGGATTAAAAATGTCTTCCCCAAAGACCACATAGATAGATAGATAAATAGATAGATAGAGAGATTGATAGATCGATAGATTGATAGATCGATAGATAGATAAACACACACATTGCTACAAGCTGGAAATTTGTCTACTTTCTCCTTGTGGCTTTTTCACCAGGTAATTGTCTTGACTGTAAACTTCTGTTCTTTCCACAGTCACAAAGTGACTACAAAAGAAAATGTTCTATACCTTATATACCTGAATTAAATACCAATATATATATAGAAGGATTTAAAATATTTAAAATATGTAATGTTGCTTTGAAAATAAAGCTGGAAAGAAATCCAATTTAGAGAAAATGGGGAGTCCTGGCATATGGGCATTCATTCTGAAGACAAAATTCAAGGTGATGCTCCTTTCAAATGTAAGTCAACAAATACAAATGAGAATATAAGCAATAGAAAGGGAAAAGAAAAAATAATCTTACATACAGAAAACAAAAATCAGAGTAGACAATCTTTGTCCCCAAGAGTCAGAATTTACTTTCATCTCTAGTAAGAAATTTATTTTCAACTGTTATGAAAATGTGGACTCTTAAATTCCCATGACAGTTCTCTTGAAAAAGATGATAGTGAAATCATCCAAAAAGGGTGAGTTGTTTCTAAAGACCACATACAAATAAAAATGGTAAATAGCTGAATCTTGTGAAAGCATCTTTCCCTATAATGGGTAGTTTTCACAATGAAATTATACTTAAAAAATTGAGTGACTATGTTAAATACAGTCACAGAAAATTAGAATTAAAGCAATTTGGAAGATTAACTCAGCTTCTTATTTTACAGATAAAATACAGTTCTGTGGAGATGAAGTAGCCTGCCCAAGGACACAGATCTGGTGAGTAAAGAACAAAGAAATAAATTCACACAATAATAAAATACTAAATTACTAAATATTTAACAATTTCAAACATCATGAAAGTATTCTTTAGGCTAATGTTTCAACAACCACACTTTGGCATATGAACATAGTGTCTAAATGTATGTGTTTTCAAACTGTTGGCAAAGATTGGGTAGACATGACTGTACCAGAATGGTGCTGAGATTTCCTGAGAAAGGATTAACATGCTTGGCATGGAACTTTTGCAATAAAGGAAACACTATAGTTTAATTCATAGTGATTTAAGAAGATGGACGATTTTTGAGAGGGGAAATTCAATTATAGTGAAAATAAAATTTCATTTACCCATCATTTCCTTCATTATTCATTTTTTTTATTGGGTAGAAAGTATGTACAAGGAATAGCAAAGAAAAACAAAGTGTATTAGGAAAAAATAAAGAATTAATGTAATGCTACTTAACTATAAATTTCTCATAATCATATTTTAATTTAATCTTCAAATGAACCTATCGGGTAAGTTCAATTGGTTATTTTAAAACAGAATTCCTATAACATTTCCAAATAACTTTATTGCTTTTTCCTAATTCATTTGGAATTTAATGTATTTTTTATGACTTGATAATTTTTTTTTTCTCTGGTTGGTGTAGTTACACATTCAGTAGAACGTTTGAAGATTTGACTATGGTTTCCTTTTGTTTTGTTGTCAATATTTTTTCCTTAATTCAGAGCTAGTTTTTCTCATCCAAATTTAAATTTATGCTGCAATAATTCTATTTACTGTTACAGTTTAACACCAATATATTGATCCCTTTAATTTTATGTTCAGAAAAAAATATGTACTAATCAAATAGCACTAATATTGACTGTGCCTTACAACTGAGAGGAAAATAAATGATTCCGGTTGATATTAATTTTAATTTGCAAGAATAAGTATATGAATTCAGTCTAGATGTTTTTTGAAAATGAAACCTTGCCCAACCTGATGAAATGGCAGTACACATTCTAATAAAACTTAAGTGATTGAGATATTTTGACACTGACTACAGAGCAAAGGAACAGATCATTGGAACAGAACATAGTCTAAAAAGAAATCCAAATATAGGGAATTAATATAGAACCAAAGTGGCTTTTCACCAGATTCTATTTATATGACATGCTCACAATATGGAGATAAGACAGAGTAGACTCTGTTGTCTGGAGTTGGGACTGGTAGACCATAGTCATTGCTGATGGGTACATAATTTCCTCTTTGGGAACTGAAAATATTCTAAAATAAGATCATGGGTTTTACATATCTGAGTATATTAGAACTATTGAATTATACACTTTCAATAGGTCAATTTTATGGTATATGAATTTATCTCCATTAATATTTTTAAATACTTTCAAAATAGAAATGAGGAGACTTAGGGCATGCAACTTTAGAGTCCATAGAATTTTCCTCTGTCTTTATAGGCAACAAGGCATGGGCTGTGTAAATTAGGACAACTTCTGACAGTGTTTCTTAGATAAGGAGTAATAAAGATTATCAGTGTTTCAGCCATCTGGAGTGATGACTTAAATCATATTAAAACCTATAGTGAGGAAATTATTTTATCCCACTTTCAATTCTCTTCCAAAACTTCTGAATCTGTTGGTAAATAGGTTATTTGATGGCATTCCTTCTTCTGTAACTCTTTTAACAAAAAAAAAATGCAGTCCTGGATTTCAGAACTATCCTTAGGCCATTTCATGTAACCAGGATTTAATGATATTGGTTCATGTCCATCCTTTTTATTTTTACAATTTATCTTCTCTATGAGGTAAGTAAAGTGGTTTTATCACTTACAGGAGTGTTAGCATGCCAATCTTCAACACTTTTTTTGCGGGGGGTAAAAACAGAACCGTGTCCTCTCCTAAATCTAGATGATAATAAGTAAGAGTGAGTTGCTTGCCAACAAGGTGAAATTCATGCCAGTGCCATGTGAATAACTGGAACTTAAAGAGCAGTTTAAAGTCTACAGCAGTCATAAAATCTTGGTGCTCAAAAGGATATGTAGGCCCTGGGAAGTTAGGGCTGTGCACAGTCACATTTTCAGACTTGAAGACTAGAGAAGCCTTTATCTTTTTATTTTAATTACTGAATAAAACTTTTTATTCCACAACAGGAAGAGGTCTCCAAAATATGGTTGGGTGACCGGAACCATAATTGGAAATTCCTGTGTGACTTAGTGAGACTCACTTAGACTTCCCTTAGTTAGGCAGGACTGAATAGCATATGTCAAAGTATACTCCTCTACCTATTTCTGGCTGCAGTTGAATGTTCTTGAACTTTTGTTGTCGGGGTAGCCATAGAACTGGAGAAGAGGGAATTATGAAAAGTTGGGAGGGGAGAAAGGAAAGATCTATCTTGCCTTTTTCCAAGTGCCAAAGCTAATTTTGGTGATGGCTTTAGCGATAGAATGATAACCAAGATTAAAGCAAGTAAGCATCCACTTTAGGATATGAGAACTGGAATTTTAGATTTCATTATAAGATTGTCATTTCAACAAAATCATAATATAATAGCAATGGATTTCCATTTTTTCTCTATTTCTGTTGAAATATTATCTCATAAATATACTTTGATACAAAAGAGATCTCTCAATTTCACAAGAGCTTGAGAGCTCTGTTTTATTCTTATGCTGACCTATTCCCAAAATAACTTTTTGATGTACACCTTCAATATTCAAGCCAATGTCCATGACATCAGCAATCAGAAACAGCATTATTTTTAGGGTTTTTATTCCCACATACTGTTGTAGGTTATCAAAAAAAGGGGGGAAGCCTTCTGCTTAGTCTCACTGGTCTTCTGTATACTTCCTTACATTATTATCAGGGATGTTTATGGCTCCTGTAATTAATTATTCTAAGAGGGGGGGAAGGGATCTGTGAAAATGACAACTTTACCCGTGCTATTCTAAAGTGTTACTCTATTCCAGAAGGAATATTTGTATTTTCTCTACTCCACTGTACTTGCAGTTCTGCACATTGGACCATTTTCATAGGAGTCAGTCTTTTCAAGTCTCACAAGTGTTTTATTCACTGAAGTTGTTAGCTACAATGATAGTGATCCAATATCATCAATGAGGTTCATTTAGATGAAGAACATAGAGAGGAAATATAAATATGAGTACACTTGATTTTTGTACCATTCTAAAACTTTGTATATGTTTTCCAGTTTCTGGAGTGACTCCTACTTCATTGTGTATTTTTTTATTAATCTAGTTACTAAACTTCTTAAAAGGAATCTGATATTCACCTGGTGTGTAATTTCTTTCTGTGCCAACTCTTGCTCTCTCAAATATTAACCCATTAAAGAAATAGTTAATGAGTTTACAGCTATGCTTTTCTTCCATATGGTCTGTTTAAAAAGCTCAATATAGTTTTATATTCAGAGAATGATGTTATGCTACTCTAATAAAATTAGTGAATCTTGGAAGTTAACAGTAGGACTGACAGTAAATAGTATTAATAGTGTTAACACTATTTAAGTATTATAAAAACATATTCAGTAAGCATATCCTGTATCTTAGTGAAGTGTTCTGTTGCTATAGTCATAATGAGTTAACAATTATTACCTAGATAAAGATTTGAACTTGATTGTTCTACCAAAAGTATGCCCATGACTATGATGGCTGCTTCATAGAATTCATGACTAATTCCCTTCACTACTGTAGATAGAGACAAAAGGTCCGTCCAACAAACAGGTAGTTAGGTAATATTTGTACTGTGTCTGAGAGTCCTGGATATTAATGCCTTAAACTAACCCATTTTACATGAGACAACATATGAAGAATAATGTCAAAGGGATGAGTCATGAATGGAAGGTTTTTGGTAGCCTTGGCTCTGGCCCTGTGAGAGGAGGAGGAGGCTACTGTTACCTGACAAACTAAATGCTTTTCACATTTTGAGACCCTTGAGATAGCTCTGTAGAATCACTCTTTTATCTATAAGAGTTTTGTTAAGGAAGAATTTTGAACTGTCTTCCCTTATGACCCATTAATTGTTGTGAAAAATACCCTCTCTCTTGTCCCCAACCGAATGCAAGGTAGAGGAAGTAGAACAGTTCAGCATGTAGGAAAAAAACAGATTTTTTTCTATAAGACCCAAGGTTCCGCTATTACGGTGATGTCTAAAGAAGATGCTGCCTTATTTTAATGTGAGACATAATTTTCCTGTTGTTTGTCAAGGCTGTCAGATAATAGACAAATTGCCTATGATAAAATGTGCTTTCAATTTTTCCAATGTAATATTCAATTTTCATTTTCATAAGGGCTTGTTTATTTTGATGGCTTGAATTGGTTGACTAGAAAGTCAGTCTCTAGTACTCATCAGTAAAGATTGTAGTCTGGGTTATAATTCAGGTGACATATGTTACTATCAAATTATCTGTAAATGCCTTTCTGTGTTTAATTCTTGAAAAGTCAGGAGTGACAGGCTATTTGAATAATTTTTCTTTATTCCTCCCTAAATTGACTTCAAAACAATGGCAATGTGGGCTACTTTTTATTGAAGAAAAATGTGTTTGAACTTCTGAATTCCAGCTCCAAAGATTCCTGCTAGTAGCTCACATTTCTTTTCATTTCACTATCCTGACTGTGTGTGTGTGTGTGTGTGTGTGTGTATACACATACCTTTTTCTGTCTTGCCAGTGTAAAAATACATATCAATATAAAAAGCAGTGCTTAAAGGAACTTTAATATTTTAACCCCACCATTGTAAAAGTAAGATATATACATTATAGAAAATCTGAAAGTGCTAGAAATAAAAATTTTCTGTTAAACCCTATATATATTTCTTTGTCCTCATCTTACTTAAACCTCTCAACAATTAAGAGATTATCATCTGAAAGGTTGTTCTTTTAAAAACTGTCTTAGCTCTCCCATCTGGGCATGTATTCACTATTCTGAGAGTCCAGAACCCCAGTTTATGGGCAAACCCTGTTCTAGTTCCAGTCAACAGTCAAGCAAACAGTG